GTTAACTAGAGCATGAGTGACTGTCAGCAGAGCCCCCGATCCAGGAATGGGTGCAACTGTCGTACAACACGAAGCTATGCAAAGGCCCTCCTAGCTACGACTGTCACCTGCTCTTTGAGTAGGAGTCGTGAGTCCAAGAGGACTCCCAGATTGCACACCGGGTCTGTCTGGGGCCATACAACCCCATCCAGAGCCAAAGATGGCATAGTCCTGGAACCAGTAGGCCCCCAAACCCAAAGCCACTCAATCTTGCCAGGGTTCAGCTGAAGCCTGTTGTTCCCCATCCAGACCCTCAAAGCCTCCAGGCACCGGGATAAGATGTCCATAGCATCGCTTAATTTACCAGGGGCAGAGACATATAATAGGATATCATCAGCGTACTGATGATACTTCACCCCATGGTGACAGATGATCTCACCCAGTAGCCTCATATAGATATTGAATAGGAGTGGAGAGAGCACCAAACCCTGTGGCACCCCACATAGCAGGGGCTGGGGGTGCGATCTCTCCTCCTCAATCACCACCAACTGGAACCAACTCTGGAAACAGGAGGCAAACCAACACAACACAGTGCTGCCCACCCCCAATCCCCAGAGCCGATCCAGAAGGAGACCATGGTCGATGGCATCAAAAGCCACATGGATGGATGGACAACCCCATTCCGCCCTGACTAGAGATCATCCAAAAGCATGACCAATGCCGTTTTCGTCCCATAGCCAGGTCTGAATCCTGACTGAAAGGGATCTGGATAATTCACTTCATCCAAGGTCCTCTGAAGCTGCTGCACAACTACCTTCTCAACCACCTTCCCCAGAAAGAGGAGGTTAGATGCTGGATGAAAATTGTCCACTATAGTGAGGTCCAGTGATGGCTTCTTGAGGGGGCAATGAACCAAGGCCTCTTAAGAGGTAAAGTAACAACCCCCTCACTCAAGGAAGAGTTCACCACTGCTAGAACCCACTCACATGATACCCCCCCCCCGGGCTGCTTTAACAAGCCAGGAGGGACATGGATCTAAAGGGCAGGTAGCTGAACTCACAGTCCTAACAGTCCAATTCCTCAGGCCCAAAAGGTTCAAACTGATCCCAGATAACCAGGCAAGACTCCTTCCCAGGCATCTCCTCTGGACCTGCAATAAGGTATTCAAAGTATGAAGCTACCATGTGTCAGATCAGACTATTGGTTGTCTAACTCAGTACTGTCCATTCTTGGCAGGCAGTGACTGTTCAGGTCCTCAATCAAACATCTTTCTTAGTCATGCTACAAAAATATTCTTTTTAATGGCAATGCTAGAGACTGAATTTGGGGAACTTTGCTGAGAAATAGATATTTAAGTTCTGAACTATAAAGATACAATCTCCTTTGAGACAAGCTTAACTCCTGATGTCTTCATTGATGCATCCATTCAGGTTTCTTTGCAACTGTACAGAAACTGTTTGCCATCACTGCATAATTGCTCATCATGACGCAAAAAACATGCCCAATTTTCTCTGAATGTGTTTTACAATGTCATGATAATAAATTCACTTCCACTGTCCTAGCATTTCAAATAAAACCACCACAGGCATCCATGGGGAGGAACAAATGATGAAGTATGGCATCATGATGCAAAACCTGTGACTTCCATATGTGTCTGATGTTGAGGTACAAATACAAAAAGGCCAAGGTTTTCCCCTTAAATCACAATACACATTTCATCATTTTCTCATCATAAAGATTGACAACGGATCCCTATAAAAACCATGTCTTTTGGGGGGGGGATGGGGGGAGTACTTTCCCTGTTACCTCTTAGCAATAATGTGTTCCATAGCAAAAATACCAAAAATTTGGAATTGTTCTGCTACAAACCCAGAATCATGGAGGCCAAATGAACACAGAAATTGCATGGACAATGGAAGATAACAGGGACTTTCAAACAGAGAAGTATTGGATTCAAAGATTATTGCACCAGAGTGGAGCAGATTTTGCAGCTCAAATATTGCAGCTGTTACACACACTGCTCCCAGGTTCGGCTTATGGTCACTCACTCACACACTCACAGCCCGTT